CACACCTGGGCACACACTTGGGCACACCCGGATACACCTGGGCACAGCTGGACACACACCTGGGCACACACAGCTGGGCACACACCTGGGCACACACCTGGGCACACCTGGGCACACACCCAGACACACCTGGGCACACACCTGGGCACACACCTGGGCACACACCTGGGCACACCTGGGCACACACCTGGGCACACCTGGGCACACACCCGGGCACACACCTGGGCACACCTGGACACACACCTGGGCACACCTGGGCACACCTGGGCACACCCGGGGACACCTGGGGGCACACCTGGGCACACCTGGGCACACCTGGGCACGCAGCCTTGCACCTTCACCACCCAACCCGGCCATGCCCACTCCAACCATCCCCAGACCGCATCCCCTCACCCCTACCCTGAGCCCCAGGTGAGCGCCAGGTGAGCGCCAGGTGAGCGCCAGGTGAGCGCCAGGTGCGTCCCCGCAGGTTCCAACTACTACGTGCGCATCCTGAGCACCATCGACCGCGAGCTGCTCAAGCCCAACGCCTCGGTGGCGCTGCACAAGCACAGCAACGCCCTGGTGGACGTGCTGCCCCCCGAGGCCGACAGCAGCATCATGATGCTCACCTCAGGTGAGCGCACCTGGGCACACCTGGGGTCCGTAAAATGTCATTTTTTTGGGAAAAAATGGAGTTTGGGGTGAAAAAATGGGAGTTTGGGATCTAAAAATGGTGGCTGGGGTCACCAAAGTCAACTGGGGTCACCTAAAGTTCATGAGATGTTGAATGGATCCATCTTGAGGTCACCTGGGCACACTGGGCACACCTGGGATCCATAAAATGTCGTTTTGGGGGGCAAAAATGGGATTTGGGGTGAAAAAATGGGGTTTGGGGTGAAAAAAATGGGATTTGGGGTCACCAAAAGTTCTTGAGATGTTGAGTGGATCCATCTTGGGGTCACCTGGGCACACCTGGGCACACCTGGGCACACCTGGGATCCATAAAGTGTTGTTGTTTTGGGGAAAAATGGGATTTTGGGGTGAAAAAATGGGGTTTGGGGTCACCAAAAGTCAACTGGGGGCATCTAAAATTCATAAGATGTTGAGGTGGATCCATCTTGAGATCATCAGGTTTTACCTGGGCACACCTGGGCACACCTGGGGTCCATAAAATGTTGGTTTTTTGGGAAAAAAATGGAGTTTGGGGTGAAAAAATGGGAGTTTGGGGTGAAAAATGGGGTTTGGGGTCACCTAAAGTTCATGAGATGTTGAGTGGAACCATGCTGAGGTCACCTGGGCACACCTGGGCACACCTGGGCACACCTGGGCACACCTGGAGTCCATAAAACATCATTTTTGGGAAAAAAATGGGAGTTTGGGGTGAAAAAATGGGAGTTTGGGGTCCAAAAATGGTGGTTGGGGTCACCAAAAGTCAACTGGAGACATCTGAAGGCCTTGAGATGTTGAGTGGAACCATCTTGAGGTCACCTGGTCACACCTGGGCACACCTGGGGTCCATTAAAACGTCATTTTTTTGGGGAAAAATGGGAGTTTGGGGTAAAAAAATTGGGTTTGGGGTGAAAAAATGGGGTTTGGGGTCACCAAAAGTCAACTGGGGTCACCTAAAGTTCATGAGATGTTGAGTGGAACCATCTTGAGGTCATCAGGTTTCACCTTGGCACACCTGGGCACACCTGGGGTCCATAAAATGTCATTTTGGGGGGGAAAGATGGGATTTGGGGTGAAAAAATGGGGTTTGGGGTCACCAGAAGTCAGCTGGGGTCACCTAAAGTTCATGAGATGTTGAGTGGAACCATCTTGAGGTCACCTGGGCACACCTGGGCACACCTGGGGTCCATAAAACGTCGTTTTGGGGGGGAAAAGTGGGGTTTGGGGTGAAAAATGGGATTTGGGATCTAAAAATGGGGTTTGAGGTCACCAAAGTCAGCTGGGGTCACCTAAAGTTCATGAGATGTTGAGTGGATCCATGCTGAGGTCATCGGGGCACACCTGGGCACACCTGGGATCCATAAAATGTCATTTTGGGGTGAAAAAATGGGGTTTGGGGTCACCTAAAGTTCATGAGATGTTGAGTGGAATCATGCTGAGGTCACCTGGGCACACCTGGGCACACCTGGGGTCCATAAAACATCGTTTTGGGGGGGGAAATGGGATTTGGGGTGAAAAAATGGGATTTGGGGTCACCAAAAGTCAGCTGGGGTCACCTAAAGCTCTTGAGATGTTGAGTGGAACCGTGCTGAGGTCACCTGGGCACACCTGGGGTCCAGAAAACGTCGTATTATTGGGAAAAAATGGAGTTTGGGGTGAAAAAATGGGATTTGGGGTGAAAAAATGGGAGTTGGGGGTGAAAAAATGGGAGTTTGGGGTCATCAAAAGTTCTTGAGATGTTGAGTGGAACCATCTTGGGGTCACCTGGGCACACCTGGACACACCTGGGCGCACCTGGGGTCCTTAAAATGTCGTTTTGGGGGGGAAAGATGGGATTTGGGGTGAAAAAATGGAGTTTGGGGTCTAAAAATGGTGGTTGGGGTCACCAAAAGTCAACTGGGGCCACCTAAAGCTCATGAGATGTTGAGTGGAACCATGCTGAGGTCACCTGGGCACACCTGGGGTCCATAAAACGTTGTTTTGGGGGGAAAAATGGGATTTGGGGTGAAAAAATGGGAGTTTGGGGTGAAAAAATGGAGTTTGGGGTCACCAAAAGTTCTTGAGATGTTGAGTGGAACCATCTTGAGGTCATCAGGTTTCACCTGGGCACACCTGGGCACGCCTGGGGTCCATAAAATGTCATTTTTTTGGGAAAAAATGGAGTTTGGGGTGAAAAAATGGGGTTTGGGGTCACCAAAAGTTCTTGAGATGTTGAGTGGATCCATCTTGAGGTCATCAGGTTTCACCTGGGCACACCTGGGCACACCTGGGATCCATAAAATGTTGTTGTTTTGGGGAAAAATGGGATTTGGGGTGAAAAAATGGGGTTTGGGGTGAAAAAATGGGGTTTGGGGTCACCTTAGGTTCATGAGATGTTGAGTGGAACCATCTTGAGGTCAACTGGGCACACCTGGACACACCTGGGCACACCTGGGGTCCGTAAAACGTCATTTTGGGGTGAAAAATGGGATTTGGGGGGAAAAAATGGAGTTTGGGATCTAAAAATGGGGTTTGGGGTCACCAAAAGTCAGCTGGGGTCACCTAAAGTTCTTGAGATGTTGAGTGGATCCATGCTGAGGTCATCAGGGCACACCTGGGGCACACCTGGGCACACCTGGGGTCCATAAAATGTTGTTTTGGGGGTGAAGAATGGAGTTTGGGGTGAAAAAATGGGATTTGGGGTGAAAAAATGGGGTTTGGGGTCACCAAAAGTTCATGAGATGTTGGTTGGATCCATCTTGGGGTCACCTGGACATACCTGGGCACACCTGGGATCCATAAAACGTCGTTTTGGGGGAAAAAAATGGAGTTTGGGGTGAAAAAATGGGAGTTTGGGGTCACCAAAAGTCAGCTGGAGTCACCTAAAGTTCATGAGATGTTGAGTGGAACCATCTTGAGGTCATCGGGGCACACCTGGGCACACCTGGGCGCACCTGGGGTCCATAAAATGTCGTTTTGGGGGAAAAAATGGAGTTTGGGGTGAAAAAATGGGGTTTGGGGTCCAAAAATGGTGGTTGGGGTCACCTAAAGTTCATGAGATGTTGAGTGGAACCATCTTGAGATCATCAGGTTTTACCTGGGCACACCTGGGCACACCTGGGGTCCATAAAACGTCGTTTTGGGGAAAAAAATGGAGTTTGGGGTGTAAAAATGGGGTTTGGGGTCACCTTAGGTTCTTGAGATGTTGAGTGGAACCATCTTGAGATCATCAGGTTTCACCTGGGCACACCTGGGCACACCTGGGGTCCGTAAAATGTCGTTTTGGGGGGGAAAGATGGGATTTGGGGTGAAAAAATGGGGTTTGGGGTCACCTAAAGTTCTTGAGATGTTGAGTGGAACCATGCTGAGGACACCTGGGCACACCTGGGCTTGGTCCCAGTTGCCCCCAGTCCATCCCAGTTTGTCCCAGTCCATCCCAGTCCCTCCCAGTCCCTCCCAGTTTGTCCCAGTCCATCCCAGTCCATCCCAGTCTGTCCCAGTTGGTCCCAGTTGCCCCAAACTGGTCCCAGTTGCCCCCAGTTGTCCCCAGTTGCTTCCAGTTTGTCCCAGTCCATCCCAGTCCCTCCCAGTCCATCCCAGTCTGTCCCAGTATATCCCAGTTGCCCCCAGTCCATCCCAGTCCCTCCCAGTCCATCCCAGTCGGTCCCAGCTGTCCCGGTGTCCCCAGTTTATCCCAGTCCATCCCAGTCCGTCCCAGTTTGCCCCATACTGGTCCCAGTGTGTCCCAGCTGTCCCAGTGTCCCCAGTTTGTCCCAGTCCCTCCCAGTCCATCCCAGTCCCTCCCAGTCCGTCCCAGTCCATCCCAGTTTGTCCCAGTCCCTCCCAGTGTGTCCCAGTCCATCCCAGTCCATCCCAGTCCCTCCCAGTTCCATCCCAGTCCATCCCAGTTTGCCCCATACTGGTCCCAGTCCGTCCCAGCTGTCCGGGTGTCCCCAGTTGCCCCCAGTTTGCCCCAGTCCCTCCCAGTTTGCCCCAGTCCCTCCCAGTCCCTCCCAGTTTGCCCCAGTCCCTCCCAGTCCCTCCCAGTTTGTCCCAGTCCATCCCAGTCCATCCCAGTCTGTCCCAGTTGGTCCCAGTTGCCCCAAACTGGTCCCAGTTGCCCCCAGTCCCTCCCAGTCCATCCCAGTCCATCCCAGTCCATCCCAGTTTGTCCCAGTTGCCCCATACTGGTCCCAGTCCATCCCAGTCCATCCCAGTTTGTCCCAGTTTGTCCCAGTCCATCCCAGTCCATCCCAGTCCATCCCAGTTCCCCCCAGTCCATCCCAGCTGTCCGGGTGTCCCCAGTCCATCCCAGTCCATCCCAGTTTGTCCCAGTCCCTCCCAGTCCATCCCAGTCCATCCCAGTCCATCCCAGTCCATCCCAGTCCCTCCCAGTCTGTCCCAGTTTGTCCCAGTTTGCCCCAGTTCCCCCCAGTCCGTCCCAGCTGTCCCGGTGTCCCCAGTCCCTCCCAGTCCATCCCAGTCCATCCCAGTTCCCCCCAGTCCGTCCCAGCTGTCCGGGTGTCCCCAGTTTGTCCCAGTCCATCCCAGTTTGTCCCAGTTCCCCCCAGTCCGTCCCAGCTGTCCCGGTGTCCCCAGTTGCCCCCAGTTTGTCCCAGTCCATCCCAGTTTGTCCCAGTTCCCCCCAGTCCATCCCAGCTGTCCGGGTGTCCCCAGTTGCCCCCAGTTTGTCCCAGTTTGTCCCAGTCCATCCCAGTCCATCCCAGTGTGTCCCAGTCCCTCCCAGTTTGCCCCATACTGGTCCCAGTCCCTCCCAGCTGTCCGGGTGTCCCCAGTTTGTCCCAGTTTGTCCCAGTTTGTCCCAGTTCCCCCCAGTCCATCCCAGCTGTCCGGGTGTCCCCAGTCCATCCCAGTCCGTCCCAGTTCCCCCCAGTTCCCCCCAGTCCGTCCCAGCTGTCCGGTGTCCCCAGTTGCCCCCAGTTTGTCCCAGTCCATCCCAGCTGTCCGGGTGTCCCCAGTCCATCCCAGTCCATCCCAGTCCATCCCAGTTCCCCCCAGTCCGTCCCAGCTGTCCGGGTGTCCCCAGTTGCCCCCAGTTTATCCCAGTCCCTCCCAGTCCCTCCCAGTCCATCCCAGTTCCCCCCAGTCCATCCCAGCTGTCCCCGGTGTCCCCAGACCAGAAGCCGGACGTGGTCTATGCGGACATCGGGGGCATGGACATCCAGAAGCAGGAGGTGCGCGAGGCCGTGGAGCTGCCCCTGACCCACTTCGAGCTCTACAAGCAGGTGAGGCCTGGGGACCTTCTGGAACCTTCTGGGACCTTCTGGGACCTTCTGGGGCCTTCTGGGGATGTCCTGGGACCTCCTGGGCACCTCCTGGGACCTTCTGGAACCTTCTGGGGATGTCCTGGGACCTTCTGGGACCTTCTGGGGACATCTTGGGACCTTCTGGGGACATCCTGGGACCTTCTGGGGATGTCCTGGGACCTCCTGGGGACCTTCTGGGACCTTCTGGGGACATCCTGGGGACATCTTGGGACCTTCTGGGACCTTCTGGGGATGTCCTGGGGATCTTCTGGGACCTTCTGGGACCTTCTGGAACCTTCTGGGACCTTCTGGGACCTTCTGGGGATGTCCTGGGGACCTTCTGGGGATGTCCTGGCGACCTTCTGGGATCTTCTGGGGATCTTCTGGAACCTTCTGGGACCTTCTGGGGATCTCCTGGGGCCTTCTGGGGACCTTGTGGGACCTTCTGGGGACCTTGTGGGACCTTCTGGGGATGTCCTGGGGACCTTCTGGGACCTTCTGGGACCTTCTGGGACATTCTGGGACCTTCTGGGACCTTCTGGGGATGTCCTGGGGATGTCCTGGGGATGTCCTGGGGACCTTCTGGGACCTTCTGGGGACATCCTGGGGATGTCCTGGGACCTCCTGGGGACCTTCTGGGACCTTCTGGGGATGTCCTGGGACCTCCTGGGGACCTTCTGGGACCTTCTGGGGATGTCCTGGGACCTTCTGGGACATCCTGGGACCTTCTGGAACCTTCTGGGGACCTCTGGGACCTCCTGGACCTGCTGGGGACCTCCTGGGGACCTTCTGGGACATTCTGGGACCTTCTGGGGATGTTCTGGGGATGTCCTGGGACCTTCTGGGGACCTTCTGGGGATGTCCTGGGGATCTTCTGGGGCCTTCTGGGACCTTCTGGAACCTTCTGGGACCTTCTGGGGACCTTCTGGGACCTTCTGGGGACATCCTGGGGACTTCCTGGGGACCTTGTGGGACCTTCTGGGAACATCCTGGGGCCTTATGGGGACCTTCTGGGACCTTCTGGGGATTTCCTGGGGATGTCCTGGGGACCTTCTGGGGACCTTCTGGGGATCTTCTGGGGCCTTCTGGGACCTTCTGGGGCCTTCTGGAACCTTCTGGGACCTTCTGGGGACATCTTGGGACCTTCTGGGGACCTTCTGGGACCTTCTGGGACCTTCTGGGACCTTCTGGGGACCTTCTGGGACCTTCTGGGACCTTCTGGGACATCCTGGGGATGTCCTGGGGTTGTTCTGGGGACCTCCTGGGGCCTTCTGGGGACATCCTGGGATCTTCTGGGGATGTCCTGGGGATGTCCTGGGACCTTCTGGGAACTTCTGGGGACCTTCTGGGACCTTCTGGAACCTTCTGGGGATGTTCTGGGGACCTTCTGGGGGCATCCTGGGACCTTCTGGGACCTTCTGGGCACCTCTGGGGATCTCCTGGGACCTTCTGGGACCTTCTGGAACCTTCTGGGGATCTCCTGGGACCTTCTGGGACATCCTGGGACCTTCTGGGGACCTTTCGGGGACCTTCTGGGACCTTCTGGGGACCTCCTGGGGATGTCCTGGGGATCTTCTGGGGCCTTCTGGAACCTTCTGGGGACCTTCTGGGGACCTTCTGGGGACATCCTGGGACCTTCTGGGGATGTCCTGGGACCTTCTGGGACCTTCTGGGGATGTCCTGGGGACCTTCTGGGGACATCCTGGGACCTTCTGGGGATGTCCTGGGGACCTTCTGGGACCTTCTGGGGATGTCCTGGGACCTTCTGGGACCTTCTGGGACATCCTGGGGACCTTCTGGGGACATCTTGGGACCTGCTGGGACCTTCTGGGAACATTCTGGGGATCTTCTGGGGACCTTCTGGGACCTTCTGGGGATGTCCTGGGACCTCCTGGGACCTTCTGGGGACATCCTGGGGACCTTTTGTGGATGTCCTGGGGACCTTCTGGGGCCTTCTGGGGATGTCCTGGGGATGTCCTGGGGATGTCCTGGGACCTCCTGGGGACCTTCTGGGACCTTCTGGGGACATCCTGGGGATGTCCTGGGACCTCCTGGGGACCTTCTGGGACCTTCTGGGGATGTCCTGGGGACCTTCTGGGACATCCTGGGACCTTCTGGAACCTTCTGGGGACCTTCTGGGGACCTCTGGGACCTCCTGGACCTGCTGGGGACCTCCTGGGGACCTTCTGGGACATTCTGGGACCTTCTGGGGATGTCCTGGGGACCTCCTGGGGATGTCCTGGGGACCTTCTGGGGACCTTCTGGGGACCTTCTGGGGACCTTCTGGGGACATTCTGGGGATGTCCTGGGGACCTTCTGGGGATGTCCTGGGGACCTTCTGGGGACCTCCTGGGGACCTTCTGGGACCTTCTGGGACCTTATGGGACCTTCTGGGGACCTCCGGGGACCTCCTGGGACCTTCTGGGGACCTCCTGGGGACCTCCAGGTCATCTCCAGGTGGCCCTGGAGATCCTTAGGTCATCTCCAGGTGACCTCAGATGTCCTCCTGGTCGTCTTCAGGTGGCCTTGGGGACCCTCATGGGACCTCCAGGCCATCTCCAGGTGACCTCAAGTGATCACCAGGTGACCTCCAGGTCATCTTGAGGTGGCCTTGGGGCTCCTCAGGTGACCTTGGGGCCCCTCAGGTGATCTCCAGGTCACCTTGGAGACCCTCAGGTGGCTTTGAGGACCTTCAGGTGGCTTTGAGGCCTCTCAGGTGACCTCCAGGTCACCTTGGAGACCTCCAGGTCACCTTGAGGCCCCTCAGGTCACCTTGGAGACCCTCAAGGACACCTTGAGGACCTTCAGGTGATCTCCAGGTCACCTTGGAGATCTCCAGGTCACCTTGAGGACCTCAGGTGACCTCAGATCACCTCCAGGTCATCTTTAGGTGACCTCAAGGACCTCAGGTCACCTCCAGGTCACCTTGGAGACCCTCAGGTGACCTTGGAAACTCTCAGGTGACCTCCAGGACACCTTGAGGCTTTCAGGTCACCTTGGAGACCCTCAGGTGGCTTTGAGGACCTTCAGGTGACCTCCAGGTCACCTTGGAGACCTCCAGGTCACCTTGAGGACCCCAGGTCATCTTGAGGACCTTGGGTGATCTCCAGGACACCTTGAGGCCCCTCAGGTCACCTTGAGGACCTTCAGGTGATCTCCAGGACACCTTGAGGCTCCTCAGGTGATGTCCAGGACACCTTGAGGACCTCCAGGTCATCTTGGAGACCCTCAGGTCACCTTGAGGACCTTCAGGTCACCTTGAGCCCCTCAGGTGATCTCCAGGACACCTCAAGGCCCCTCAGGTCACCTTGAGGACCTCAGGTGGCTTTGAGGACCTTCAGGTGACATCCAGGTCCCCTTGGAGACCTCCAGGTCACCTTGAGGACCTCGGGTGATCTCCAGGACACCTTGAGGCCCCTCAGGTCACCTTGGAGACCCTCAGGTCACCTTGAGGACCCTCAGGTGACCTCAGATCATCTCCAGGTCACCTTGGAGACCCTCAGGTGGCTTTGAGGACCTCAGGTGATCTCCAGGACACCTTGAGGCTCCTCAGGTGATCTCCAGGACACCTCAAGGCCCCTCAGGTCACCTTGGAGACCCTCAGGTGGCTTTGAGGACCTTCAGGTGACCTCCAGGTCACCTTGGAGACCTCCAGGTCACCTTGAGGACCTCGGGTGATCTCCAGGACACCTTGAGGCCCCTCAGGTCACCTTGAGGACCCTCAGGTGACCTCAGATCATCTCCAGGTCACCTTGGAGACCCTCAGGTGGCTTTGAGGCCCCTCAGGTCACCTTGAGGACCTCAGGTGACCTCCAGGACACCTTGAGGCTCCCAGGTCATCTTGAGGACCTCAGGTGACCTCAGATCAGCTCCAGGTCACCTTGAGGACCTCAGGTCACCTTGAGGACCTCCAGGACACCTTGAGGCTCCCAGGTCACCTTGAGGCCCCTCAGGTGACCTCAGATCGCCTCCAGGTCACCTTGGAGACCCTCAAGGACACCTTGAGGCCCCTCAGGTGATCTCCAGGTAACCTTGGGGACCTCCAGGACACCTTGGAGACCCTCAGGTCACCTTGAGGACCTCAGGTGGCTTTGAGGACCTTCGGGTGACCTCCAGGTCCCCTTAAGGACCTTCAGGTGATCTCCAGGTCACCTTGAAGCCCTCAGGTCCCCTTGGAGGTCCCCAGGTCACCCTGAGGCCCCTCAGGTCACCTTGAGGACCCTCAGGTGACCTCAGATCATCTCCAGTTCACCTTGGAGACCCTCAGGTGGCTTTGAGGACCTCAGGTGATCTCCAGATCACCTTGAGGCTCCTCAGGTGATGTCCAGGACACCTTGAGGACCTCCAGGTCACCTTGGAGACCCTCAGGTCACCTTGAGCCCCTCAGGTATCTCCAGGTCACCTTGAGGCCCCTCAGGTCACCTTGAGGACCTCAGGTGACCTCAGATCACCTCCAGGTCATCTTTAGGTGACCTCAAGGACCTCAGGTCACCTCCAGGTCACCTTGGAGACCCTCAGGTGACCTTGGAAACTCTCAGGTGACCTTCAGGACACCTTGAGGCTTTCAGGTCACCTTGGAGACCCTCAGGTGGCTTTGAGGACCTTCAGGTGACCTCCAGGTCACCTTGGAGACCTCCAGGTCACCTTGAGGAGCCCAGGTCATCTTGAGGACCTCGGGTGATCTCCAGGCCACCTTGAGGCCCCTCAGGTCACCTTGAGGACCCTCAGGTGACCTCAGGTGATCTCCAGGTCACCTTGGAGGTCCCCAGGTCCCCCTGAGGCCCCTGGGTGGCTTTGAGGACCTTCAGGAGGAGGTCCCCAGGTCCCCCTGAGGCCCCCGGGTGTCCTCACTGTGTCCTCTCTGTGTCCTCCCCGTGTCCTCCCCGTGTCCTCTCTGTGTCCTTCCCGTGTCCTCCCCGTGTCCCCTCCGTGTCCTTCCCGTGTCCTCTCCGTGTCCTTCCCGTGTCCTTCCCGTGTCCCCTCCGTGTCCTCCCCGTGTCCTTCCCGTGTCCTCTCCGTGTCCTCCCCGTGTCCTCTCCGTGTCCCCTCCGTGTCCTTCCCGTGTCCCCTCCGTGTCCTCCCCGTGTCCTCTCCGTGTCCTTCCCGTGTCCTCTCCGTGTCCTCTCCGTGTCCCCTCCGTGTCCTTCCCGTGTCCTTCCCGTGTCCTCACCGTGTCCTCCCCGTGTCCTCCCCGTGTCCTCCCCGTGTCCTCTCCGTGTCCTTCCCGTGTCCCTCCCGTGTCCTTCCCGTGTCCCCTCCGTGTCCTCTCCGTGTCCTCCCCGTGTCCTCTCCGTGTCCTTCCCGTGTCCTTCCCGTGTCCTTCCCGTGTCCTTCCCATGTCCTTCCCGTGTCCTTCCCGTGTCCTTCCCGTGTCCCCTCCGTGTCCTTCCCGTGTCCTCTCCGTGTCCTTCCCGTGTCCTTCCCGTGTCCTTCCCGTGTCCTCACCGTGTCCTCCCCGTGTCCTTCCCGTGTCCTCCCCGTGTCCTCTCCGTGTCCTTCCCGTGTCCTCTCCGTGTCCTTCCCGTGTCCTTCCCGTGTCCCCCCCGTGTCCTTCCCATGTCCTTCCCGTGTCCTTCCCGTGTCCTTCCCGTGTCCCCTCCGTGTCCTCCCCGTGTCCCCTCCGTGTCCTCCCCGTGTCCCCTCCGTGTCCCCTCCGTGTCCCCTCCGTGTCCTTCCCGTGTCCTTCCCGTGTCCTTCCCGTGTCCTTCCCGTGTCCTTCCCGTGTCCTCTCCGTGTCCCCCCCGTGTCCTCCCCGTGTCCTCCCCGTGTCCTTCCCGTGTCCTTCCCGTGTCCTCCCCGTGTCCTCTCCGTGTCCTTCCCGTGTCCTTCCCGTGTCCCCTCCGTGTCCTTCCCGTGTCCTTCCCGTGTCCTCCCCGTGTCCCCTCCGTGTCCTCCCCGTGTCCTTCCCGTGTCCTCCCCGTGTCCTTCCCGGCACAGATCGGCATTGACCCCCCCCGGGGGGTGCTCATGTACGGCCCCCCCGGCTGCGGGAAGACCATGCTGGCCAAGGCCGTGGCCCACCACACCACAGGTGAGCTCCTGGGGACACCTGGGGACACCTGGGGACACCTGGAGGGGTTTGGTGACATCTGGGAGGGGTTTGGGGACACCTGGGACGGGTTTGGGGACATCTCAGTGGGGTTTGAGGAGGTTCTGGGTGGTTTTTGTGGGTGAGGAACCTTCTGGAGAACTTTGGGATGAAGGTCAAGAGCACCTGGGTGGGGTTTGGAGACATCTGGGAGGGGTTTGGGATCATCTCAGTGGGGTTTGGGGACACCTGGTTGGGGTTTGGGATCATCTGGGAAGGGTTTGAGGAGATTTTGGGGGTGAGGAACCTCCTGGAGAACTTTGGGACGAAGCTCAGGAGCACTTGGGTGTGGTTTGGGGACATCTTGAGAGGTTTGGGGTCACATGGGAGGGGTTTGAGGAGGTTCTGGGTGGGGTTTGGAGACACCTGGGTGGGGTTTGGAGACACCTGGGAGGGGTTTGGGATCATCTCAAGAGGTTTGGGGTCATCTGGGAAGGGTTTGAGGAGATTTTGGGGGTGAGGAACCTTCTGGAGAACTCTGGGATGAAGGTCAAGAACACCTCAGTGGGGTTTGGGGACACCTGGGAGGGGTTTGGGATCATCTCAGTGGGGTTTGGGGTCATCTGGGTGGGGTTTGGGGACATCTGGGAGGGGTTTGAGGAGATTTTGGGGGTGAGGAACCTCCTGGAGAACTTTGGGATGAAGGTCAAGAACACCTGGGTGGGGTTTGGGGACACCTGGGACGGGTTTGGGGACATCTCAGTGGGGTTTGAGGAGGTTTTCGGGGTGAGGAACCTTCTGGAGAACTTCGGGATGAAGCTCAGGAGCACCTGGGTGGGGTTTGGGGTCACCTGGGTGGAGTTTGAGGAGGTTTTTGGGGGGTGAGGAACCTTCTGGAGAACTTTTGGATGGTCATGATGGAGTTTGGGGTCACCTGGGTGGGGTTTGGGGATACCTGGGTGGGGTGAGGAACCTTCTGGAGAACTTTGGAATGAAGCTCAGGAATACCTGGATGGGGTTTGGGGACATCTTGAGAGGTTTGGGGACACCTGGGTGGGGTTTGAGGGGATTTTGGGGGTGAGGAACCTTCTGGAGAACTTTGGGATGAAGGTCAAGAGCAGCTGGGTGGGATTTAGGGACACCTGGTTGGGGTTTGGGGACATTTCAAGAGGCTTGGGATCACCTGGGTGGGGTTTGAGGAGGTTCTGGATGGGGTTTGGGGGTGAGGAACCTTCTGGAGAACTTTGGGATGAAGGTCAAGAACACCTGGGTGGGGTTTGGAGACACCTGGGTGGGGTTTTAGGAGGTTCTGGGTGGTTTTTGGGGGGTGAGGAACCTTTTGGAGAACTTTTGGATGGTCATGATGGGGTTTGGGGGCATCTGGGTGAGGTTTGGGGGCATCTCAGTGGGGTTTGGGATCACCTGGGAAGGGTTTGAGGAGATTTTGGGGGTGAGGAACCTTCTGGAGAACTTTGGGATGAAGGTCATGAATACCTGGGTGGAGTTTGGGATCACCTGGGTTTCTGGAGATGTTTTGGGTTCCTGGTGGTCTCCATGAGGTTCCTGGGGGGGTCTCCATGGATTCCTGATGGGATTTTTGGGGTTTCTGGAGATGTTTTGGGTTCCTGGTGGTCTCCATGGATTCCCAATGGCATTTTTGGAGTTTCTGGAGATGTCTCGGGTTCCTGGTGGTCTCCATGGGTTCCTGATGGGATTTTTGGGGTTTCTGGAGACGTTTTGGGTTCTTGGTGGTCTCCATGGAGTTCTGGAAGTTGTTTTGGATTCCTGGTGGTCTCCATGGGTTCCTGGTGGCATTTTTGGAATTTCTGGAGATGTTTTGGGTTCCTGGTGGTCTCCATTGGTTCCTTGTGGTCTCCATGGGTTCCCAGTGGGATTTTTGGGGTTTCTGGAGATGTTTTGGGTTCCTGGTGGTCTCCATGGATTTCCAATGGGATTTTTGGGGTTTCTGGAGATGTTTTTGGGTTCCTGGTTGTCTCCATTGGTTCCTGGTGGTCTCCATGGGTTCCTGATGGGATTTTTGGGGTTTCTGGAGATGTTTTGGGTTCCTGGTGGTCTCCATGGGTTCCCGGTGGCATTTTTGGAATTTCTGGAGATGTTTTGGGTTCCTGGTGGTCTCCATGGAGTTCTGGAGGTTGTTTTGAGTTCCTGGTGGTCTCCATGGGTTCCCAATGGAATTTTTGGGGTTTCTGGAGTTGGTTTTGGGTTCCTGGTGGTCTCCATGAGGTTTTGGTTCCTGGTGGTCTACCATGGGTTCCTGATGGGATTTTTGGGGTTTCCAGAGATGTTTTGGGTTCTTGGTGGTCTCCATATGGAATTTTTGGGGTTTCTGGAGTTGGTTTTGGGTTCCTGGTGGTCTCCATGGGTTCCCGGTGGCATTTTTGGGGTTTCTGGAGATGTTTTGGATTTCTGGCGTTCTCCATGGGTTCCCAGTGGCATTTTTGGAAGATCTGGAGATGTTTTGGGTTCCTGGTGGTCTCCATGGGTTCCTGATGGGATTTTTGGGGTTTCTTGAGATGTTTTGGGTTCCTGGTGGTCTCCATGAGGTTCCTGGTGGGTTCTCCATGGATTCCTGGTGGCATTTTTGGGGTTTCTGGAGATGTTTTGGGTTCTTGGCGTTCTCCATGGACTCCCGGTGGCATTTTTGGACATCCCAACCCTTGGATTTCTCTGTGTCCCCTCCAGCCGCCTTCATCCGCGTGGTGGGCTCGGAGTTTGTGCAGAAGTACCTGGGCGAGGGCCCGCGCATGGTCCGCGACGTCTTCCGCCTGGCCAAGGAGAACGCGCCGGCCATCATCTTCATCGACGAGATCGACGCCATCGCCACCAAGCGCTTCGACGCCCAGACCGGCGGTGAGGACCCGGCCTGGGCAAGGGTCTCCAGCGGGTGGGGTTTGGGTGGTCCCGGGTGGAGTTTGGGTGGTCCTGGTTGGACTTTGGGTGGTCCCGGGTGGAGTTTGGGTGGTCCTGGTTGGAGTTTGGGAGGTCCTGGTTGGAGTTTGGGAGGTCCTGGGTGGAGTTTGGGAGGTCCCGGGTGGGATTTGGGCTTGAGGAACGTTCTGGAGAACTTCAGGATGGAGACCAAGGTGGGGTCTGGGGACACCTGGGTGGGGTTTGAGGACCCCAGACTCCCAAATTGAGGAGGGGTCTCCAGTGGGGTGGAGGTTGGGAGGTCCTGGGTGGAGTTTGGGTGGTCCTGGTTGGAGTTTGGGAGGTCCCAGGTGGAGTTTGGGAGGTCCTGGTTGGACTTTAGGAGGTCCTGGTTGGACTTTAGGAGGTCCCAGGTGGAGTTTGGGAGGTCCCGGGTGGAGTTTGGGAGGTCCCAGGTGGAGTTTGGGTGGTCCCAGGTGGAGTTTGGGTGGTCCTGGTTGGACTTTGGGTGGTCCTGGGTGGAGTTTGGGAGGTCCCAGGTGGAGTTTGGGAGGTCCCAGGTGGAGTTTGGGAGGTCCTGGGTGGACTTTGGGTGGTCCCGGGTGGAGTTCAGGAGGTCCCGGGTGGAGTTTGGGAGGTCCTGGTTGGACTTTGGGAGGTCCTGGGTGGAGTTTGGGAGGTCCTGGTTGGACTTTGGGTGGTCCTGGGTGGGATTTGGGTGGTCCTGGGTGGAGTTTGGGAGGTCCTGGGTGGAGTTTGGGAGGTCCTGGGTGGAGTTTGGGAGGTCCTGGTTGGAGTTTGGGTGGTCCTGGTTGGAGTTTGGGAGGTCCTGGTTGGACTTTAGGAGGTCCTGGGTGGAGTTTGGGTGGTCCTGGTTGGAGTTTGGGTGGTCCTGGTTGGACTTTAGGAGGTCCCAGGTGGAGTTTGGGTGGTCCTGGTTGGACTTTAGGAGGTCCCAGGTGGAGTTTGGGAGGTCCCAGTGGAGTTTGGGAGGTCCTGGGTGGGGTTTGGGGGGTCCTGGGTGGAGTTTGGGAGGTCCCAGGTGGAGTTTGGGTGGATTTGGAGGGTGAGGAACCTTCTGGAGAACTTTGAGATGAAACTCAGGAGCACCTGGGTGGAATTTTGGGGTTTTGGGTGGAATTTTGGGGTCACTTCCCCAGAATTTGGGGTTTTGGGTGGAGTTTAGGCTTGAGGAACCTTCTGGAGAACCTCGGGACGAAGCTCAGGAGCACCTGGGTGGAATTTGGGGTCACCTGGGTGGAATTTTGGGTTTTTGGGTGGAATTTTGGGGTCACTTTCCCAGAATTCGGGGTTTTGGGTGGAATTTTGGGGTTTTGGGTGGAATTTGGGGGTGAGGAACCTTCTGGAGAACCTCAGGGTGAAACTCAGGAGCACCTGGGTGGAATTTGGGGTCACCTGGATGAAATTTTGGGGTCACCTGGACAGAATTTGGGGTTTCAGGTGGAATTTTGGGGTCACTTCCCCAGAATTTGGGGTTTTGGGTGGAATTTTGGGGTTTTAGGTGGAGTTTGGGCTTGAGGAACCTTCTGGAGAATCTCAGGATGAAACTCAGGAGCACCTGGGTGGAATTTGGGGTCACCTGGACAAAATTTTGGGGTTTTGGGCGGAATTTTGGGGTCACTTCCCCAGAATTTGGGGTTTTGGGTGGAGTTTGGGGGTGAGGAACCTTCTGGAGAACTTTGAGATGAAGCTCAGGAGCACCTGGGTGGAATTTTGGGGTTTTGGGTGAAATTTTGGGGTCACCTGGACAGAATTTGGGGTTTTGGTGGAATTTGGGCTTGAGGAACCTTCTGGAGAACCTCAGGATGAAACTCAGGAGCACCTGGGTGGAATTTTGGGGTTTTGGACGGAATTTTGAGGTCACCTGGGCAGAATTTTGGGGTTTTGGGTGGAATTTTGGGGTCACCTGGACAGAATTTGGGGTTTTTGGTGGAATTTTGGGGTCACTTCCCCAGAATTTGGGGTTTCAGGTGGAGTTTTGGGGTGAGGAACCTTCTGGAGAACTTTGAGATGAAACTCAGGAGCACCTGGGTGGAATTTTGGGGTTTTGGGTGGAATTTTGGGGTCACTTCCCCAGAATTTGGGGTTTTTGTGGAATTTTGGGGTGAGGAACCTTCTGGAGAACCTCGGGACGAAGCTCAGGAGCACCTGGGTGGAATTTTGGGGTTTTTGGGTGGAATTTTGGGGTCACCTGGACAGAATTTGGGGTTTTGGGTGGAATTTTGGGTTTTTGGGTGGAATTTTGAGGTCACCTGGACAGAATTTTGGGGGTTTTTGGTGGAATTTTGGGGTCACCAAGGTGGAATTTGGGGTTTTGGGTGGAATTTTGGGGTTTTAGGTGGAGTTTGGGGTGAGGAACCTTCTGGAGAACCTCGAGATGAAGCTCAGGAGCACCTGGGTGGAATTTTGGGTTTTGGGTGGAATTTTGGGGTTTTGGGTGGAATTTTGGGGTCACCTGGACAGAATTTGGGGTTTTGGGTGGAATTTTGGGGTCACTTCCCCAGAATTTGGGGTTTTGGGTGGAATTTTGGGGTTTCTGGGGTGGAACCCCCCAAACCCAGAAGGTCCCAAAGTCGCCGTTTTTCGCCCCAAGCCGACCGCGAGGTCCAACGGATCCTCCTGGAGCTCCTCAACCAGATGGACGGCTTCGACCAGAACGTCAACGTCAAGGTGCGCCCAGGGGACCCAGGTGTCCCCAGGTGTCCTCAGGTGTCTCCAGGTGTCCATGCCACCAGGCTGGAGACACCTGGAGATGAAGTTCTGGAGGTTCTCATGGTCCTGGAGGGTCTCAGGTGTCTCCAGGTGTCCCCAGGTGTCCCCAGGTGTCTCCAGGTGACCATGGCCACCAAGCTGGAGACACCTGGAGGTGAAGTTCTGGGGTTCTCATGGTCCTGGAGGGTCTCAGGTGTCTCCAGGTGTCCTCAGGTATCTCCAGGTGTCCATGGCCACCAAGGTGGAGACACCTGGAGATGAAGTTCTGGAGGTTCTCATGGTCCTGGAGGGTCTCAGGTGTCCCCAGGTGTCCCCAGGTGTCCCCAGGTATCTCCAGGTGTCCACGGCCACCAAGCTGGAGACACCTGGAGATGAAGTTCTGGGGGTTCTCATGGTTCTGGAGGGTCTCAGGTGTCCCCAGGTGGCCCCAGGTGTCCGCAGGTGTCCTCAGGTGTCCCCAGGTGTCTCCAGGTGTCCTCAGGTGTCCCCAGGTGTCTCCAGGTGTCCTCAGGTGTCCCCAGGTGTCCATGGCCACCAACCTGGAGACACCTGGAGATGAAGTTCTGGGGTTCTCATGGTCCTGGAGGGTCTCAGGTGTGTCCAGGTGTCTCCAGGTGGCCCCAGGTGTCCCCAGGTGTCTCCAGGTGTCCTCAGGTGGCCCCAGGTGTCCCCAGGTATCTCCAGGTGTCCATGCCACCAACATGGAGACACCTGGAGATGAAGTTCTGAGGTTCTCATGGTTCTGGAGGGTCTCAGGTGTCCTCAGGTGTCCCCAGGTGTCTCCAGGTGTCCCCAGGTGACCATGGCCACCAAGCTGGAGACACCTGGAGATGAAGTTCTGGGGTTCTCATGGTCCTGGAGGGACCTCAGGTGTCCTCAGGTGTCCCCAGGTGTCCTCAGGTGTCCTCAGGTGTCTCCAGGTGACCACGGCCACCAAGCTGGAGACACCTGGAGATGAAGTTCTGGAGGTTCTCATGGTCCTGGAGGGTCTCAGGTGTTCTCAGGTGTCCTCAGGTGTCCTCAGGTGTCTCCAGGTGTCCATGACCACCAAGCTGGAGACACCTGGAGATGAAGTTCTGGGGGTTCTCATGGTTCTGGAGGGACCTCAGGTGGTCCTCACCTGTCACCTGTGCCCAGGAGATCATGGCCACCAACCGTGGGACACCTGGACCATGAACTTGGGGGTTTTATGGGGTTTTTATGAGGTTTTATGGAGTCTTTATGGATTTTTATGGGGTTCTGGAGATGTCAGGTGTGACCTGACCCCTCACCTGTGCCCAGGAGATCGTGGCCACCAATGGTGAGGACACCTGGGCCATGAACTGTGGGAGTTTTATGGATTTTTATGGGGTTTTAGATGTTTTTATGAGGTTTTATGGAGTTTTTATGGATTTTTATGAAGTTCTGAGGGTCTCAGGTGTGTCCTCACCTGTGCCCAGGAGATCATGGCCACCAACCATGAGGACACCTGGGCCATGAACTATGGGAGTTTATGGGGTTTTATGAGGTTTTATGGAGTCTTTATGGATTTTTATGGGGTTCTGAGGATCTCAGGTGTGACCTGACCCCTCACCTGTGCCCAGGAGATCATGGCCACCAACCAGGTGGACACCTGGGCCATGAACCATGGGGGTTTTATGGGGTTTTAGATGTTCTTATGAGGTTTTATGGAGTTTGTATGGATTTTTATGGGGTTCTGAGGATCTCAGGTGTGACCTGACCCCTCACCTGTGCCCAGGTGATCATGGCCACCAACCATGGGCACACCTGGACCATGAACCATGGGGGTTTTATGGGGTTTTAGATGTCTTTATGAGGTTTTCTGAGGTTTTATGGGGTTTCTATGGGGCTTTATGAGGTTCTATGGGGTTTTGGAGATCTCAGGTGTCTCCTCACCTGTGCCAGGAGATCATGGCCACCAACCATGGGCACACCTGGACCATGAACTGTGGGGGTTTTATGGATATTTATGAGGTGTTATGGAGTCTTTATGGATTTTTATGGGGTTCTGGAGATCTCAGGTGTGTCCTCACCTGTGCCCAGGAGATCATGGCCACCAACCATGGGCACACCTGGGCCATGAACTGTGGGAGTTTTATGGGGTTTTTATGAGGTTTTATGGAGTCTTTATGGATTTTTATGGGGTTTTGGAGATCTCAGGTGTGACCTGACCCCTCACCTGTCCCCAGGAGATCATGGCCACCAACCATGGGCACACCTGGGCCATGAACTGTGGGAGTTTTATGGGGTTTTATGAGGTTTTATGGACTTGTTATGGATTTTTATGGGGTTTTGGAGATCTCAGGTGTGACCTGACCCCTCACCTGTGCCAGGAGATCATGGCCACCAACCATGGGCACACCTGGACCATGGACTGTGGGGGTTTTATGGATTTTTATGGGGTTTTAGATGTTCTTATGAGGTTTTATGGAGTTTTTATGGATTTCTATGGGGTTCTGAGGGTCTCAGGTGTCTCCTCACCTGTGCCCAGGAGATCATGGCCACCAACCAGGTGGACACCTGGGCCATGAACTTGGGGTTTTATGAGGTTTTATGGAGTTTCTGTGGGGTTCTGTGAGGTTCTATGGGGTTCTGGAGATCTCAGGTGTCTCCTCACCTGTGCCAGGTGATCATGGCCACCAACCATGGGCACACCTGGACCATGAACTGTGAATTTTTATGGGGTTTTAGATGTTTTTATGAGGTTTTATGGAGTTTTTATGGATTTTTATGGGGTTCTGAGGATCTCAGGTGTGTCCTGACCCCTCACCTGTGCCCAGGAGATCGTGGCCACCAATGGTGAGGACACCTGGGCCATGAACCATGGGGGTTCTATGAGGTTTTATGGAGTTTCTATGGGGCTTTATGAGGTTTTATGGAGTTTGTATGGATTTTTATGGGGTTCTGGAGATCTCAGGTGTGTCCTGACCCCTCACCTGTGCCCAGTAGATCATGGTCACCAACCATGAGGACACCTGGACCATGAACTGTGGGAGTTTTATGGGGTTTTATGGGGTTTTAGATGTTTTTATGAGGTGTTATGGAGTTTGTATGGATTTCTATGGGGTTCTGGAGATCTCAGGTGTCTCCTGACCCCTCACCTGTCCCCAGGAGATCGTGGCCACCAACGAGGTGGACACCTGGGCCATGAACCATGGGGGTTCTATGAGGTTTTATGGATTTTTATGGGGTTTTATGAGGTTTTATGGAGTCTTTATGGATTTTTATGGGGTTCTGAGGGTCTCAGGTGTGTCCTGACCTCTCACCTGTCCCCAGGAGATCATGGCCACCAACCAGGTGGACACCTGGGCCATGAACCATGGGGGTTTTATGGGGTTTTAGATGTTCTTATGAGGTTTTCTGAGGTTTTATGGAGTTTCTATGGGGCTTTATGAGGTTCTATGGGGTTTTGGAGATCTCAGGTGTCTCCTCACCTGTGCCCAGGAGATCATGGCCACCAACCATGAGGACACCTGGGCCATGAACTGTGGGGGTTTTATGGATATTTATGAGGTTCTATGGAGTCTTTATGGATTTCTATGGGGTTCTGAGGATCTCAGGTGTGTCCTGACCCCTCACCTGTGCCCAGGAGATCATGGCCACCAACCATGGGACACCTGGGCCATGAACTTGGGGGTTTTATGGGGTTTTAGATGTTTTTATGAGGTTTTATGGAGTTTCTATGGATTTTTATGGGGTTCTGAGGGTCTCAGGTGTCTCCTGACCCCTCACCTGTGCCCAGGTGATCATGGCCACCAACCAGGTGGACACCTGGGCCATGAACTATGGGAGTTTATGGGGTTTTATGAGGTTTTATGGAGTCTTTATGGATTTTTATGGGGTTCTGAGGATCTCAGGTGTGTCCTGACCCCTCACCTGTGCCCAGGAGATCATGGCCACCAACCAGGTGGACACCTGGACCATGAACCATGGGGGTTTTATGGGGTTTTAGATGTTTTTATGAGGTTTTATGGAGTTTTTATGGATTTCTATGGGGTTCTGGAGATCTCAGGTGTGTCCTGACCCCTCACCTGTGCCCAGGAGATCGTGGCCACCAACCATGGGCACACCTGGACCATGAACTGTGGGAGTTTTATGGGGTTTTTAATGGGGTTTTAGATGTTTTTATGAGGTGTTATGGAGTCTTTATGGATTTTTATGGGGTTCTGGAGATCTCAGGTGTGTCCTGACCCCTCACCTGTGCCCAGGAGATCATGGCCACCAACCAGGAGGACACCTGGATCAGCAATTCTGGGGTTTTATGGATTTTTATGGGGTTTTAGATGTTTTTATGAGGTTTTATGGAGTTTTTATGGTTTTTTATGGGGTTCTGAGGGTCTCAGGTGTGTCCTGACCCCTCACCTGTGCCCAGGAGATCGTGGCCACCAACCATGGGCACACCTGGACCATGAACTGTGAATTTTTATGAGGTTTTAGATGTTCTTATGAGGTTCTATGGAGTCTTTATGGATTTTTATGGGGTTCTGGAGATCTCAGGTGTGTCCTGACCCCTCACGTGTCCCCAGGAGATCATGGCCACCAACCATGGGCACACCTGGGCCATGAACTTGGGGTTTTATGGAGTTTTTATGGGGTTTTAGATGTTCTTATGAGGTTTTATGGGGTTTCTATGGGGCTTTATGAGGTTCTATGGGGTTTTGGAGATCTCAGGTGTCTCCTCACCTGTGCCCAGGTGATCATGGCCACCAACCATGGGCACACCTGGGCCATGAACTATGGGGGTTTTATGGGGTTTTATGAGGTTTTATGGAGTTTGTATGGATTTCTATGGGGTTCTGAGGGTCTCAGGTGTGTCCTGACCCCTCACCTGTCCCCAGGAGATCATGGCCACCAATGGTGAGGACACCTGGGCCATGAACTTGGGGGTTTTATGGATATTTATGAGGTTTTATGGAGTTTGTATGGATTTTTATGGGATTTTGGAGATCTCAGGTGTGTCCTGCCCCCTCACCTGTGCCCAGGTGATCATGGCCACCAACCATGGGCACACCTGGACCATGAACCATGGGGGTTCTATGAGGTTTTATGGATTTTTATGGGGTTTTATGAGGTTTTATGGGGTTTTTATGGATTTTTATGGGGTTCTGGAGATCTCAGGTGTGTCCTGACCCCTCACCTGTGCCCAGGAGATCATGGCCACCAACCATGGGCACACCTGGGCCATGAACCATGGGGGTTTTATGGGGTTTTATGAGGTTTTATGGAGTCTTTATGGATTTCTATGGGGTTCTGAGGGTCTCAGGTGTGTCCTGACCCCTCACCTGTGCCCAGGAGATCATGGCCACCAACCAGGTGGACACCTGGGCCATGAACCATGGGGGTTTTATGGGGTTTTATGGGGTTTTATGGAGTCTTTATGGATTTCTATGGGGTTCTGGAGATCTCAGGTGTGACCTGACCCCTCACCTGTGCCCAGGAGATCATGGCCACCAACCAGGTGGACACCTGGGCCATGAACCATGGGGGTTCTATGAGGTTTTATGAGGTTTTATGGGGTTTTATGAGGTTTTATGGAGTTTTTATGGATTTCTATGGGGTTCTGAGGGTCTCAGGTGTGTCCTGACCCCTCACCTGTGCCCAGGTGATCATGGCCACCAACCGTGCGGACACGCTGGACCCGGCCCTGCTGCGGCCCGGCCGCCTGGACCGTAAGATCGAGTTCCCGCTGCCCGACCGGCGGCAGAAGCGCCTCATCTTCTCCACCATCACCGGCAAGATGAACCTGTCCGAGGAGGTGGACCTGGAGGATTGTATCCCACACCTGGGGACACCTGGGGGCACACCTGGGGGCAGCTGGGGGCACACCTGGGGACACACCTGGGGACAGCTGGGCACACACCTGGGGACACACCTGGGGGCACCTGGGGGCAGATGGGGACACACCTGGAGGATTGTATCCCACACCTGGGGACACCTGGGGGCAGATGGGGACACACATGGGGGCACCTGGGGACACACCTGGGAGCACCTGGGCACACCTGGGCACACACCTGGGGACACACCTGGGGACAGCTGGGGACACACCTGGAGGATTGTATCCCACACCTGGGGGCAGATGGGGGCAGATGGGGGCACCTGGGGACACACCTGGGGACACACCTGGGGACACCTGGGCATACCTGGGGACACACCTGGGGGCACCTGGGGACACACCTGGGGGCAGATGGGGACACACCTGGGGGCAGATGGGGACACACCTGGGGACACACCTGGGGACACACCTGGGCACACCTGGGGACACACCTGGGGACACACCTGGGGGCAGCTGGGGGTACCTGGGGACACACCTGGGGGCAGATGGGGACAGATGGGGACACCTGGGGGCACACCTGGGGACACCTGGGCATACCTGGGGACACACCTGGGGGCAGATGGGGACACACCTGGGGACACACCTGGGGGCATCTGGGCACACACCTGGGGGCAGATGGGGGCACCTGGGCACACACCTGGGGGCACCTGGGCACACCTGGGCACACACCTGGGGGCACCTGGGGGGGTTAAAACCACACCTGGGGGGCACCTGAGCACACCTGGGGACACCTGGGCATACTTGGGCACACACCTGGGCACACCTGGGGGCATCTGGACACACACCTGGGGGGGTTAAAGCCACACCTGGGGGCACCTGGGCACACCTGGGCACACACCTGGAGGCACCTGAGGGGGTTAAAACCACACCTGGGCACAGCTGCGGGCAGCTGGGCACACCTGGGGGGGTTACAAAGACACCTGGGGGCACCTGGGCAAGGCTGGATGGGGTTAGAAACACACCTGGGCACACCTGGAGAGGGTTGGAAACACACCTGGGCACACCTGGGGGGGCTGGGAATACACCTGGGCACACCTGGGCACACCTGGATGGGGTGAAAAACACAACCTGGGCAGGGCTGGATGGGGTTAGAAACACCTGGGCACACCTGGGCACAGCTGGGGAGGGTTAGAAAACCTGGGGGTACCTGGGCACACCTGGGCACACCTGAACATGCCCTGGGCACACCTGGACGCACCAAGGACACACCTGAGGGTACCTGGGCACACCTGGACATGCCCTAGGCACACCTGAGGGCACCTGGGCACACCTGGGCACGCCTGCGCCGTTTCCTTGACCCCTGCCCCAGACGTGGCGCGGCCGGACAAGATCTCGGGGGCCGACATCAACTCCATCTGCCAGGAGGTGAGGGCACAGCTGGGCACACCTGGGACAGGTGTGGGGCACACCTGGATGCACCTGGGCACACCTGGGGCACACTTGGGCACACCTGGGACACACCTGGGCACAGCTGGGCACAGCTGGGATACACCTGGATGTACCTGGGTGCACCTGGGCACACACCTGGGGTACACCTGGGACACAGCTGAGACACACCTGGGTACACCTGGGACACACCTGGGCACACCTGGGCACAGCTGAGACACACCTGGGTACACCTGGGACACACCTGGGCACACCTGGGCACAGCTGAGACACACCTGGGTACACCTGGGACACACCTGGGCACACCTGGGCACAGCTGAGACACACCTGGGTACACCTGGGACACACCTGGGACACACCTGGGTACACCTGGGCGCATCTGGGCACACCTGGGTACACCTGGGACACACCTGGGCACACCTGGGACAGGTGTTGGGCACGCCTGGGTGGAGCTGGGGCAGGTGTGGCTGTAGCTCAGTGTGGCTGATACTGAGGGGACACTCGGTGACACAGGTGACACAGGTGTGGCTGTGGGTGACACAGGTGACACAGGTGTGGCTGTGGGTGACACAGGTGACACAGGTGTGGCTGTAGCTCAGTGCAGGTGACACAGGGCTGGCTGTGGGTGGCTGTAGGTGACACAGGTGACACTCAGGTGTCCCAGGTGACACCCAGGTGACACTGGGGTGACATTGTCCCCAGGGTGGCATGCTGTCAATGCGGGAGAACAGGTACACAGTGCTGGCACAGGTGACACAGGGCTGGCTGTGGGTGACACAGGTGTGGCTGTAGCTCAGTGCAGGTGACACAGGGCTGGCTGTGAGTGGCTGTGGGTGTCCCAGGTGACACTCAGGTGACACTGGGGTGACATTGGCAGGGTGGCATGCTGGCGGTCAGGGAGAACAGGGACACAGGGCTGGCTGTAGGTAACACAGGTGACACCCAGGTGACACTCAGGTGACACAGGTGTCCCTGTCCCCAGGGTGGCATGCTGGCGGTCAGGGAGAACAGGTACACGGTGCTGGCACAGGTGACACAGGTGTGGCTGTAGGTGACACAGGTGACACAGGGCTGGCTGTGGGTGACACAGGTGACACTCAGGTGACACAGGTGTCCCTGTCCCCAGGGTGGCATGCTGGCGGTCAGGGAGAACAGGTACACGGTGCTGGCACAGGTGACACAGGGCTGGCTATGGGTGGTTGTAGGTGACACAGGTGACACTCAGGTGTCCCAGGTGACACTCAGGTGACACTCAGGTGACATTGGCAGGGTGGCATGCTGTCAATGCGGGAGAACAGGTACATGGTGCTGGCACAGGTGACACAGGTGTGGCTGTGGCTGGCACAGGTGACACAGGTGACACTCAGGTGTCCCAGGTGACACTGAGGTGACATTGGCAGGGTGGCATGCTGGCGGTCAGGGAGAACAGGTACACGGTGCTGGCACAGGTGACACAGGTGTGGCTGTGGGTGACACAGGTGACACTGAGGTGACATTCCCAGGGTGGCATGCTGGCGGTCAGGGAGAACAGGTACACAGTGCTGGCACAGGTGACACAGGTGACACTCAGGTGTCCCAGGTGACACTGAGGTGACACTGGGGTGACATTGGCAGGGTGGCATGCTCATGGTCAGGGAGAACAGGTACACGGTGCTGGCACAGGTGACACAGGGCTGGCTGTGGGTGACACAGGTGACACTCAGGTGACACTCAGGTGACACTGAGGTGACATTGTCCCCAGGGTGGCATGCTGGTGGTCAGGGAGAACAGGTACATGGTGCTGGCACAGGTGACACAGGTGTGGCTGTAGGTGACACAGGTGACACAGGGCTGGCTGTGGGTGACACAGGGCTGGCTGTGGGTGACACAGGTGATACTCAGGTGACACTCAGGTGACACAGGGCTGGCTGTGGCTCAGTGCAGGTGACTCAGGGCTGGCTGTGAGTGGCTGTGGGTGTCCCAGGTGACACTCAGGTGACACAGGTGTCCCTGTCCCCAGGGTGGCATGCTGGCGGTCAGGGAGAACAGGTACACGGTGCTGGCACGGGTGTGGCTGTGGCTCAGTGTAGGTGACACAGCTGACACTCAGGTGTCCCAGGTGACACTCAGGTGACACTGAGGTGACATTGTCCCCAGGGTGGCATGCTGGCGGTCAGGGAGAACAGGTACATCGTGCTGGCACAGGTGTGGCTGTGGGTGACACAGGGTTGGCTGTAGGTGACACAGGGCTGGCTGTGGGTGACACAGGTGACACTCAGGTGACACAGGTGTCCCTGTCCCCAGGGTGGCATGCTGGCGGTCAGGGAGAACAGGTACATCGTGCTGGCCAAGGACTTTGAGAAGGCCTACAAAACCGTCATCAAGAAGGACGAGCAGGAGCACGAGTTCTACAAGTGACACCTTGGGGACACCTTGGGGACACCTTGGGGACACCTTGGGGACACCTTGGGGACACCTGGAGGAACCCCCCGGGGGCACCTGGGGACGTTCAAATAAAGCTGAGACCGGAGAGAGAGCGTTGGAGCCTTTTTGGGGACACCGGGAGGGACACGGGGACATCCCTGGGAGGGACCTGGGGACACCCCTGGGGACACCGGGAGGGACTTGGGGACACTGGGATGGTCCTTGGGGACACTGAGAGGGACTTGGGGACACCCTTGGGGACACTGGGAGGGACCTGGGGACACCCTTGGGGACACAGGGAGGGACATGGGGACATCCCTGAGGACACGGGGACACCCTTGGGGGACACTGGGAGGGAGTTGGGGACACCGGGAGGGACATGGGGACTCCCTTGGGGACACCGGGAGGGACATGAGGACACTGGGAGGGACATGGGGACACCAGGAAGGGCATGGGGACTCCCTTGGGGACACTGGGAGGGACTTGGGGGCATCCTGGGGACATGGGGACACTCATGGGGACACCGGGATGGCCCCTGGGGACCACTGGGAGGGACTTGGGGACACTGAGGGGGACATGGGGACATCATTGGGGGGGGGATTTGGGGACACTCCTGGGGACATGGGGACACTGGGATGGCCCTTGGGGACACTGGGAGGGACCTGGGGACACCCATGGGGACACTGAGATGGACATGGGGATACTGGGAGGGACTTGGGGACACTCCTGGGACACTGGGACACGGCTTGGGTCACCCATGGGGACACTGGGACAGACATAGGGACATCCCTGAGGACATGGGGACACCCATGGGGACACTGGGAGGGACCTGGGGACACCGGGAGGGACATGGGGACATCATTGGGGGGGATTTGGGGACACTCCTGGGGACACTGGGATGGAGTTGGGGACACCATGAGGGACCTGGAGACACCCTTGGGGACACTGGGACATGACAGGGGACGCTGGGAGGGACCTGGGGACGCCCTTGGGGATACTCGGACATCCTTGGGGACACTGGGACAACCTCAGGGACACCTTGGGGACACCTTGGGGACACCTTGGGGTCACCTGGGCGCTCCTTGTGGCCCCCAGGACACGGCGCCAGCCTCGGGGACCCCTCGGGGTGGCCTTGGCGACATCGCGACACTTTTGGGGACATCGGGGGGCGGGGCCGAGAGCGGCTCGGTGGAAACCACGCCCACTTCGATGACGTCAATCCCTCGGTTCCGCCCCCTCCCCTCGGGCGCCGCAGTGCGCCGGGACCGAGCGGAGCCGAAAAGAGCCGGAAAGAGCCGAAGCGGAGCCGAACGCCGGCGAACCGGGAGGCGGAAAGAGCCGAAGGCCGGGGAGCGAAAAAAGCCGAAGCGGAGCCGAAGCGGACCCGCCTGAGGGTCCGGCCATGCCTTGAAGCGGCTCCTCCGACCCGTCCCGGGCTCTTCCTCCTCCTCTTCCTCCTCCTCATCCTCCTCCTGCGGCAGGGGGAGGGGCCCATGGGCCGGGCAGGGGGCCGAGGGGGACCGGAGACGCTGAACTGGGCCCAAACTGGGCCCAACTGGGCTCAACTGGGCCGAACTAGGCCGGAGAAATCAGAACCGGGCCGGAAAGAAGCGAAGTTGTCCGGAAAGAGCCGAAGAGGGAGCGGGATAAGCGAAGTGCGGACGGAGCTGTACGGAAAGAACCGAACCGGGCCGGAAAGAAGCGAAGTGGGACGGAAAGAACCGAACTGGGCCGGAAGTAAGCGAAGCGGGCCGGAAGTAGACGAAGGAAGAGCGGGGAGGGTCGGAAAGAGCCGAACCGGGGACGAAGTGGGCCGGAAAGAGCCGAAGGTGTCCGGAAATTGCCGAAGTGCCGCCATGTTGCTGCCGCTGCTCCTCGGGCTCCTCGAGGGTGAGTTCGGGACTCCCCGAATGTCACCGGGACCCCAAAATGTCACCAAATGTCCCCAAAATGTCCACAAATGTCCACAAAATGTCCACAAATGTCCCCAAAATGTCACCTGGGATCCTCAAAATATTCCCAAACGTCACCTGGGACCCCCAAAATGTCTCCAAAATGTCCCAAAATGTGCCCAGATGTCACCTGAGACCCCAAAATGTCCCAAAATGTGCCCAAAATGTCACCTGGGACCCCCCAAATGTCACCTGGGACGCCCAAAATGTCTCAAAATGTCCCCAAATGTTACTTGGAACCCCCAAAATGTCCCCAAATGTCCTCAAAATGTCCCCAAAATGTCCCCAAATGTCCCCAAAATGTCACCTGGGACCCCAAAAATTTCCCCAAATCTTTGGGTGAATTTTTGGACCAAATTTTATTGGAATTTCACAGGAATTTTTGGGAATTCTGGGAAAATTTGGGAATTTTTTCCTGACCCCCTCCCCTTCTCTCCCCTCTCCACAATTTTGGGGTTCTGGGGGTGGATTTTGGGTCAATTTTGGGTCAATTTTGGGTCAATTTTGGGTCAATTTTAACCCTTTCTGGGTGATTTTTTTGACCAAATCTCAGTCAAATTTCACTGAATTTTTGGGGAATTTTGGGAAATTTTGGGAATTTCTTCCTGACCCCATTTTTGGCATCTCGGGGCTGGATTTTAGGTCAAATTTGGGTCGATTTTAACAATTTTTAATGGGGTTTTTTTGACCATATTTCTGTCAAATTTAAACAGAAATTCACAGGAATTTTTGGGGATTTCTTTTGGGGAATTTTTTGGGGAATTTTTTTTGAATTTTAGGAAAATTTGGGAATTCCTTCCTGACCTCCCCCTTTCTCCCCCTCCCTGTAATTTTGAGGTCCTGGGGGTGGATTTTGACTCCACTTTGGGTCGATTTTAACAATTTTATTGGTTTTTTTGGACCAAATTTCATTGAAATTTCAACAGAATTTCACAGGAATTTTGGGAAAATTTGGGAATTTCTTCCTGACCCTCCTCTTCTCCTCTTCCCCATTTTTTGGATTTTGGGGCTGAACTTTGGGTCCATTTTGGGTCAATTTTAACCATTTTTGGGGTGTTTTTTTGGACCAAATTCCGTTCCAGTTTCAATGGAATTTCACAGGAATTTTTGGGGAATTTTTTGGGAATTCCGGGAAAATTCGGGAATTCTCTCCTGATCCGCCCCTTCTCTCCCCTCTCCACAATTTTGGGAGTCCTGGGGGTGGATTTTGGGTCAATTTTGGTTCAATTTAAACCATTTTTGGGGTGGATTTTTGGACCAAATTTCCATCAAATTTCAACGGAATTTCACCAAATTTTTTGGGAATTTCGGGTAAATTCTGAAATTCTCTCCTGACCCCCCTCCCCCCCATCTTTTTCCCCCCTCCCTGCAGTTTCGGGGGCCCTGGGGGGGTGCGTGGAGGTGGCCTCGGGCACCGAGGCCGTGCTGGGGGCGCCGTTCCGGCTGCTCTGCATCGCCTGCAAGCGCCGCAGCGAGACCCCGGCCGAGGCCGAGAGCGAGTGGTTCTTCCGTCCTGAGGGGGCCCCCCAGTTCGAGAAGGTCACTGGGAGGCACTGGGAGGGGACTGGGAGGGGACTGGGAGGGACTGGGAGGGGATTGGGATAAACTGGGAGGGACTGGGAGGACGCTGCAGGTCCCAAAGGCGCCACCAGGGGAGCCGCGGAAACAATGGGAGGGAATTGAGGAGGATTGGGGTGAACTGGGAGGGACTGGGAGTTACTGGGAGGGACTGGGAGTTACTGGGAGGACGCTGCAATTCCCAATGGTGCCACCAGGGGGAGCTGGGGAAACGCTGGGAGGGACTGGGATGGGATTGGGATAAACTGGGAGGGACTGGGAGTTACTGGGAGGACGCTGCAGTTCCCAATGGCGCCACCAGGGGGAGCCGGGGAAACAATGGGAGGGAATTGAGGAGGATTGGGATAAACTGGGAGGGGATTGGGAATGACTGGGAGGGACTGGGATAAACTGGGAGGGACTGGGAGTTACTGGGAGGACGCTGCAGTTCCCAATGGCGCTGCCAGGGGGAGCTGGGGAAACACTGGGAGGGAATTGGGAATGGATTGGGACAAACTGGGATAAACTGGGAGGGACTGGGAGGATGCTGCAGTTCCCAATGGCACCACCAGGGGGAGCTGTGGAAACACTGGGAGGGATTGGGATAGACTGGGAGTTACTGGGAGGATGCTGCAGTTCCCAATGGCGCCACCAGGGGGAGCCAGGGAAACACTGGGAGGGGATTGGGACAAATTGGGAGGGATTGGGACAAACTGGGATAAACTGGGAGGGGATTGGGATGGGATTGGGATAGACTGGGAGGGATTGGGAGGACGCTGCAGTTCCCAATGGCACCACCAGGGGGAGCTGGGGAAACACTGGGAGTTCATTGAGGGGAACTGGGAGGGAATTGGGAGGGACTGGAATGAATTGGGAATTACTGGGATGAACTGGGAGGAGGCTGCAGTTCCCAAAGCCACCACGAGGGGGAGCTGGGGAAATACTGGGAGTTCATTGGGATGGACTGGGATGAAGTGGGAGTTACTGGGAGGCACTGGGAGCTACTGGAGAGACCCTGGAGAGCCCCAGGGCCATACTGGGAGTCACTGGGCCGATCTGGGCTAAACTGGGCGCTACTGGGAATTACTTGCGCCACAATTGCAATACCAACCTCAACCACCAGAGGGTGCCACTGAGCCAAGCCCATTTCCAATCCCTTCCCACCAACCTTTACTGGTTTTTACTGGTTTTTACCGGTGCAGATCCTGCACTACAGCCCCGAGGAGGGCGAGTGGGTGGCTCCTGGGCCGTTTTTCGGGGTGATCTCCTGGAACGGCTCGCGGGGCACGCGGGACCTGCAGGACCTGTCGGTGTGGCTGATGGAGGTGAAGCGCAGCCACGCCGGGCAGTACGTGTGCCGGCTGAAACGCAACCTGACCTTCGAGGGCTACACCTACAGCCTGGCCAGGAACCAGACCCTGCGGCTGGCCGTGGTGGAGAAAGGTGCTGGGAGGCACTGGGATAAACTGGGAGGCACTGGGAGTTACTGGGATGTGGTTGGAAGGGATTGGGATGAACTGGGAGTTACTGGGAGTTGGTTGGAAGGGACTGGGAGGGACTGGAATGGAGTTGGAGGGAAGTAAAATGGAGGTGGGAGGGATTAAAGGGGAACTGGGATGGACTGGGAGGGACTGGGAATTACTGGGAGGTGCTGGGAGGACGCTGCAGTTCCCAGAGCCGCCACCAGGGGGAGACACTGGGAGTTCATTGAGGGGAACTGGGAGGGACTGGGAGTTACTGGGAGGGAATTGGGTTACACCTACAGCCTGGCCAGGAACCAGACCCTGGGGCTGGCCGTGGTGGAGAAAGGTGCTGGGAGGGACTGGGATGAACTGGGAGGGACTGGGAGGCGGTTGGAAGGGATTGGGAGGGACTGGAGGGGACTGGGATGGACTGGGAGTTACTGGGATGTGGTTGGAAGGGATTGGATGGGACTGGAGTGGAGTTGGAGGGAAGTAAAATGGAGGTAGGAGGGATTAAAGGGGAACTGGGATGGACTGGGAGGGGACTGGGATGGGACTGGGATGGACTGGGAGGGGACTGGGAGGGACTGGGAATTACTGGGAGTTGCTGGGAGGACACGGCAATTCCCAAAGACGCCACCAGGGGGCGCGGGGGAGACACTGGGAGTTCATTGAGAGGGACTGGGATGAGATTGGGATGGACTGGGAGAGGACTGGGAGTTACTGGGAGTTACTGGGAGGGGATTGGGTCACACCCAGAGCCTGGCCAGGAACCAGACCCTGGGGCTGGCCGTGGTGGAGAAAGGTACTGGGAGGGACTGGGATAAACTGGGAGGGACTGGGATGTGGTTGGAAGGGATTGGGATGGAGTTGGAGGGAAGTAAAATGGAGGTGGGAGGGTTTAAAGGGGAACTGGGATGAACTGGGAGGGGACTGGGAGTTACTGGGATGTGGTTGGAAGGGACTGGGAGGGAGTGGAATGGAGTTGGAGGGAAGTAAAACAGAGGTGGGAGGGATTAAAGGGGAACTGGGGTGGACTGGGAAGGACTGGGATGAGATTGGGATGGACTGGGAGGGACTGGGATGTGGTTGGGAGGGACTGGGAGGGACTGGAATGGACTGGGAGTTACTGGGAGGGAATTGGGTTACACCCAGAGCCTGGCCAGGAACCAGCCCCTGGGGCTGGCCATGGTGGAGAAAAGTGCTGGGAGGGACTGGGATAAACTGGGAGTTACTGGGATAAACTGGGAGTTACTGGGATGTGGTTGGAAGGGACTGGGAGGGACTGGAATGGAGCTGGAAGGGATTAAGGAGAACTGGGATGGACTGGGAGTTACTGGGAGTTTCTGGGAGTTGCTGCAGTTCCCAAAGATGCCACCAGGGGGAGACACTGGGAGTTCATTGAGGGGAACTGGGAATCACTGGGATCACATTTCAATCATACTGGGAGCACTGGGCGTTACTGGGAGGGCATTGGGAGGGCACTGGGACCAAACTGGGAGGGCACTGGGACCAAACTGGGAGGGCACTGGGAGATCAATGGGAGCACTGGGAGGGCACTGGGACCAAACTGGGAGGGCTGGGATCAAACTGGGATCAAACTGGGGGCACTGGGACCAAACTGGGACCAAACTGGGACCAAACTGGGAGGGCTGGGACCAAACTGGGATGAAACTGGGATCAAACTGGGATCAAACTGGGCCTCACTGGAAGCTGCTGGCGAGCACTGGGAAGGCTCCACACCCATATAAGGCAGAAGATGGGCGTGGCTTAGGCCGGAATGGGCGTGGCTTAGCCCAAAACGAACAATTTTGCCTCCAAAACCGCCGAATTTTCCGGGATTTTTTTGGGGATTTTTTTGGGGATTTTTTTGGGGATTTTTTTGGAAACTTTTTGGGGACAATTCCTGAGGGTTTTGGGAATTTTTTTGTCCCCCCTTTTCCACCCCCCGAAGCGCGGCGGGACCTGGCGTCCATCGTGTCTGAGATCCTGATGTACGTGCTGATCGTGGTGCTGACGCTCTGGCTCGCCGCCGAGATGCTCTACTGCTACCGCAAGGTGGCGGCCGCATCCCCGCCCCCCGACAGCGCGTGAGTGGGCGGGGCCAGAAGGGGGGAGGCGGGGCTTAACCAGCAGGCGAAATTTGGGGGGAAAAATGAAAAAAAACGGGGCGGAAAAAGGAGGAAATTGAGGAAATTAGGAGGAAAACGGGGTTTCAAAATGGCGGAGGGGGCGTGGCTTTGGGAGTGGGGGCGTGGTTTAAATTAGGAGTGGTTTGGGTTGGGATTTGGGGGGAAATGTAAAAAATTGGGGGGAAATTGGGAGGAAAATGGGGTTTCAAAATGGCGGAGGGGGCGTGGCTTTGGGAGTGGGGGCGTGGTTTAAATTAGGAGAGGTTTGGGGTTGGAATTTGGGGGGGAAATGCAAAAAATTGGGTGAAAATGGGGTGAAAAATGAAGAAATTGTGGTTTCAAAATGGTGGGAGGGCGTGGCTTAAAGCGTAGGGGCGTGGTTTTGGCAGTGGGTGTGGTCTGAAGGGGGCGTGGTTTAAATTTGGAGGGTTTTGGGTTGGGATTTGGGGGGGAAATATAAAAAATTGGGTGAAAATGGGGAGAAAAATGGGGAAATTAGGAGGAAGATGGGGTTTCAAAATGGCGGAGGGGGCGTGGCTTTGGGAGTGGGGGCGTGGTTTAAATTCAGACTGGTTTGGGGTTGGGATTTGGGGGGCAAATGCAAAAAACTGGGCGGAAAAAAGGAGGAAATTGAGGAAATTAGGAGGAAAACGGGGTTTCAAAATGGCGGAGGGGGCGTGGCTGTGGGAGTGGGGGGCGTGGTTTAAATTAGGAGTGGATTGGGGTTGGGATTTGGGGGGGGAATGTAAAAAACTGGGTGGAAATGGGGTGAAAAATGAGAAAATTGGGGGTTAAGATGGCGGAGGGGGTGTGGTTTAAAGCGTGAGGGCGTGGCTTTGGAAGTGGGTGTGGTATAAGGGGGCATGGTTTAATTTTGGAGGGTTTTGGGTTGGAGTTTGGGGGGAAATGCAAAAAATTGGGTGAAAATGGGGCGAAAAATGGGGAAATTGGGAGGAAAATGGGGTTTCAAAATGGCGGAGGGGGCGTGGTTTAAAGCGTGTGGGCGTGGCTTTGGGAGTGGGGGGCGTGGTTTAATTTTGGAGGGTTTTGGGCTGGGATCTGGGGGAAAATGGGGTGAAAAATGGGGAAATTGGGGTTTCAAAATGGCGGAGAAGGCGTGGCTTAAAGCATGGGGGCGTGGCCTTGTATTGGGTGTGGTCTGAACTGGGCGTGGCTTAAATTAGGAGTGGTTTGGGTTGGAATTTGGGGGGAAAATGTAAAAAATTGGGTGAAAATGGGGCAAAAAATGAAGAAATTGGGGTTTCAAAATGGCGGAGGGGCGTGGCTTAAACCGTAGGGGCGTGGTTTAGGAGTGGGTGTGGTCGCGAGGGGCGTGGTTTAAATTTGGAAGGTTTGGGGTTGGAATTTGGGGGGGAAATGTAAAAAACGGGGTGAAAATGGGGCGAAAAATGAGGAAATTGGGGTTTCAAAATGGCGGGGAGGGCGTGGCTTTGAGCTTGTGGGCGTGGCTTTCAGAGTGGGTTTGGCCTAAAGGGGGCGTGGTTTAATTTTGGAGGGTTTTGGGCTGGAATTTGGTGGGGAAATGCAGAAAATTGGGTGAAAATGGGGTGAAAAATGAAGAAATTGGGGTTTCAAAATGGCGGAGGGGGCGTGGCTTAAAGCGTGAGGGCGTGGATTTGGGAGTGGGCGTGGTCTAAGGGGGCGTGGTCGAAATTTGGAGTGGTTTGGGGTTGGAATTTGGGGGGGAAATGTAAAAAATTGGGTGAAAATGGGGTGAAAAATGGGGAAATTGGGAGGAAAATGGGGTTTCAAAATGGCGGAGGGGGCGTGGCTTTGGGAGTGGGGGCGTGGTTTAAATTAGGAGAGGTTTGGGGTTGGAGATTGGGGGGAAAATGTAAAAAACTGGGTGAAAATGGGGTGGAAAATGGGGAAATTGGGAGGAAAATGGAGTTTCAAAATGGCGGAATGGGCGTGGCTTAAGGCGTGAGGGCGTGGATTTGGGAGTGGGTGTGGTCGAAAGGGGCGTGGTTTAAATTAGGAGTGGTTTGGGGTTGGAGTTTGGGGGGAAATGTAAAAAACTGGGTGAAAATGGGGCAAAAAATGAGGAAATTGGGGTTTCAAAATGGCGGAGGGGGCGTGGTTTAAAGTGTGAGGGCGTGGTTTAGGAGTGGGTGTGGTCAAAAGGGGCGTGGCTTAATTTTGGAGGGTGTTGGGTTGGAATTTGGGGGCGAAATGCAAAAAATTGGGTGAAAATGGGGTGAAAAATGGGGAAATTGGGGTTTCAAAATGGCGGAGGGGGCGTGGCTTAAACCGTAGGGGCGTGGTTTAGGAGTGGGTGTGGTCGCGAGGGGCGTGGTTTAAATTTGGAAGGTTTGGGGTTGGAATTTGGGGGGGAAATGTAAAAAATTGGGTGAAAATGGGTGAAAAATGAGGAAATTGGGGTTTCAAAATGGCGGAGGGGGCGTGGCTTAAAATGTAGGGGCGTGGTTTAGGAGTGGGTGTGGTCGCGAGGGGGCGTGGCTTAAATTTGGAGTGGTTTTGGGTCGGGATTTGGGGGGAAATGTAAAAAATTGGGTGAAAATGGGGCGAAAAATGAGAAAATTGGGGGTTAAGATGGCGGAGGGGGCGTGGCTTAAAGAAGGAGGGCGTGGCTTTCAGAGTGGGCGTGGCCTAAGGGGGCGTGGTCTAAATTTTCAGGGGAAAGTGAAAATTGGGGTAAAAAATGGGGAATTTTGGGTGATTTTGGTGGGAATTTTGGGGGTTTTTTTTTTGGCTTTTTTGGGGGGATTTTGGGGCATTTCTGGGGGGAATTTTTGGGGGAATTTTTGAGGTTTTGGAGAATTTTTGGGGTGGAATTTCTGGAATTTTTGGGTCACTTTGGGGCCTGTTTTGGGCGGATTTTTTGGGATTTGCTGACTTTGGAAATGGAATTTTGGGGTGGAATTTTTTGGATTTTGGGGCTTTTTTAGGTTCTGATTTTGAGGCTTTTTTAGGTTCTGATTTTGAGGCTTTTTTGGTGGGAATTTTTTGGATTTTGGGGCTTTTTTCTGGTGGAATTTTTGGGATTTTTGGCCGGAATTTCTTTTTGATTTTGGGACTTTTTGGGCTGGAATTTTTGGGATTTTCTGGGGGGAATTTTTGGGGATTTTTGGGACTTTTTGGGGTGGAATTTGTGGGATTTTTGGGACCATTCGGGGTCGAATTTCTGGGATTTTGGAGCATTTTTGGGCGACATTTTGGGGCTTTTTGGGGCAGAATTTTTGGGATTTTTTGGGGACTTTTTGGGGTGGAATTTTTGAGATTTTTGGGACTTTTTGGACCGGATTTTTTTTTATTTTGGGACATTTTTGGGCAGAATTCTTGGGATTTTGGCTGGGATTTCTTTTTGATTTTGGGACTTTTTGGGATGGAATTTTTGGGATTTTCTGGGAGGAATTTTGGGGATTTTTGGGACTTTTTGGGGTGGAATTTCTGGGATTTTTGGGACCATTCAGGGTCAAATTTCTGGGATTTTGGAGCATTTTTGGGTGACATTTTGGGGCGGATTTTGTTGGGGTTTTTTTTATTTTGTGGTGGAATTTTTGGGATTTTTGGGGGAAATTTTGGGGATTTTTGGCTGAATTTCTTTCTGATTTTGGGACTTTTTGGGCTGGATTTTTTTGGATTTTCTGGGGGGAATTTTTGGGGGATTTTTGGGACTTTTTGGGGTGGAATTTGTGGGATTTTTGGGGTCGAATTTCTGGGATTTTGGAGCATTTTTGGGGCATTTTGGGTGGAATTTTTGGATTTTCTGGGTGGAATTTTTGGGGATTTTTGGATAGAATTTTTTAAATTTTGATGCTTTTTGGGGTGGGTTTTTTTATTTATTTTGGGACATTTTCCAGTGGATTTTTGGGATTTTGGGCTGGAATTCCTTTTGATTTTGGGACTTTTCGGGCTGGAATTTTTTGGATTTTCTGGGGGGAATTTTTGGGGATTTTTGGGACTTTTTGGGGTGGAATTTGTGAATTTTTGGGACCATTCGGGGTCGAATTTCTGGGATTTTGGAGCATTTTTGGGCGACATTTTGGGGCATTTTGGGGTGGAATTTTTGGGATTTTTTGGGGACTTTTTGGGGTGGAATTTTTGAGATTTTTGGACTTTTTGGACCGGATTTTTTTTTATTTTGGGACATTTTTGGGCGGAATTATTGGGATTTTGGCTGGAATTTCTTTTTGATTTTGGGACTTTTTGGGCTGGAATTTTTGGGATTTTTTGGGGGAAATTTTGGTGATTTTTGGCTGGAATTTCTTTTTGATTTTGGGAATTTTTGGGCTGGAATTTTTGGGATTTTGGGCTGGAATTTTTGGGATTTTTGGCTGGAATTTCTTTTTGATTTTGGGATTTTTTGGGCTGGAATTTTTGGGATTTTTGGGGGGAATTTTTGGGGATTTTGGGTGGAATTTGTGGGATTTTTTTGGGGATTTTAGGGTAGAATTTTTAAAATTTTGACCCATGTTTGGGGTGGATTTTTTTTATTTTCAGCCATTTTCAGGTGGAATTATGGCTGGAATTTCGTTTTGATTTTGGGACTTTTTGGGGTGGAATTTTCGGGATTTTTGGGGGAATTTTTGGGGATTTTTGGGACTTTTTGGGGCGGAATTTTTGAGATTTTTGGGACTTTTTTGGACTGGATTTTTTTTTTATTTTGGGACATTTTCCAGTGGATTTTTTGGGATTTTGGCTGGAATTTCTTTTTGATTTTGGGACTTTTAGGGCTGGAAGTTTTGGGATTTTTTGGGGGAAATTTTGGGGATTTTTGCCTGGAATTTCTTTTTGATTTTGGGACTTTTTGGGGTGGAATTTTTGGGATTTTCTGGGGGAAAATTTTTGGGACTTGTTGGGGTGGAATTTGTGGGATTTTTGGGACCATCAGGGGTCGAATTTCTGGGATTTTGGAGCATTTTTGGGTGACATTTTGGGGCAGAATTTTTTTTTATTTTAGGGTGGAATATTTGGGATTTTCTGGGGGGAATTTTTGGGGATTTTTGGGCTGGATTTTTTTGATTTTAGGACATTTTTGGGCAGAATTCTTGGGATTTTGGCCGGAATGTCTTTTTGATTTTGGGACTTTTTGGGCTGGAACTTTCCGGATTTTCTTGGGTGAATTTTCGGGGTGGAATTTTGGCCATTTTTGCCCTTTTTGCACCGGATTTTTTTTATTTTCGGGCATTTTGGGGTTGGAATTTTGGGGATTTTGGGCTTCCCGGAATTTTGGGGCCCCTCCCACACCCCGAATTTCTCCTCTCCCCCTCCTCAGGTCGGAATATTTGGCCATCACCTCCGAGAGCAAAGAAAACTGCGGGGGCGTCCAGGTGGCCGAGTGACCCCGAGTGACCCCGAGTGACCCCTGAGTGACCCCTGAGTGACCCCTGAGTGACCCCGAGTGACCCCGAGTGACCCCTGACCCCCCAGGCCCCCCCTGCAATAACCCCCCCGGGGGGGCCCCACCCTGACCCCGCATGGCCCCGATCCCCCATCCCCCAAGACCCCAAAATTGGGGAAAAATCCCCAAAATTTGGGGAAAAAAAATCCCAAAATCTGGGGGAAAAATCCCAAAATTTGGGCAAAAAAATTCCTAAAATGTGGGGAAAAAAATCTCAAAATTTGGGCAAAAAAATTCCCAAAATTTGGGGAAAAAATCTCAAAAATTTGGGCAAAAAAAATCCCAAAATCTGAGGGGAAAAATCCCAAAAATTGGGGGGAAAAATCCCAAAATTTGGGCAAAAAAGTCCCAAAATTTGGGGGAAACCACCAAAAATTTGAGGGAAAAAATCTCAAAAATTTGGGCAAAAAAAAATCCCAAAATCTGGGGGAAAATCCCAAAAATTTGGGGAAAAAAATTCCCAAAATTTGGGGGAAAAATCCCAAAATTTGGGGAAAAAAATCTCAAAAATTTGGGCAAAAAAATCCCAAAATCTGAGGGGAAAAATCCCAAAAATTTGGGGAAAAAAATTCCCAAAATCTGGGAAAAAAATTCCCAAAATCTGAGGGGAAAAATCCCAAAATTTGGGGAAAAAAAATCGCAAAAATTTGGGCAAAAAAAATCCCAAAATCTGAGGGGAAAAATCCCAAAAATTGGGGGGAAAAATTCCAAAATTTGGGCAAAAAAAATTCCCACAATCTGGGGGAAAAGTCCAAAAATTTGGGGGAAAAGATTTCCAAAATCTGGGAAAAAAATTCCCAAAATCTGAGGGGAAAAATCCAAAATTTGGGGAAAAAATCGCAAAAATTTGGGCAAAAAAAAAATCCCAAAATCTGAGGGGAAAAATCCCAAAAATTGGGGGGAAAAATTCCAAAATTTGGGCAAAAAAAATTCCCAAAATCTGAGGGGAAAAATCCCAAAATTTGGGGAAAAAATCTCAAAAATTTGGGCAAAAAATTCCCAAAATCTGGGGGAAAATCCCAAAAATTTGGGCAAAAAAATTCCCAAAATCTGAGGGGAAAAATCCCAAAATCTGAGGGGAAAAGTCCAAAAATTTGGGGGAAAAAAACTTCCAAAATCTGGGGGAAAAATCCCAAAATTTGGGGAAAAAAATTACCAAAATCTGGGGAAAAATCCAAAATTTCGGCAAAAAAATTCCCAAAATCTGAGGGGAAAAATCCCAAAATTGGGGGGAAAAATTTCAAAATTTGGGCAAAAAAATTCCCAAAATCTGGGGGGAAAACCCCAAAATTTGGGCAAAAATATTCCCAAAATCTGGGAGGAAAAATCCGAAAATTTGGGGAAAAATTTGGGGAAAAAATCTCAAAAATTTGGGCAAAAAAAAATCCCAAAATCTGGGGAAAAAAATTCCCAAAATCTGGGGAAAAAAATTCCCAAAATCTGAGGGGAAAAGTCCAAAAATTTGGGGGAAAAAACTTCCAAAATCTGGGGGAAAAATCCCAAAATTTGGGGAAAAAAATTCCCAAAATCTTGGGGAAAAATCCCAAAATTTGGGCAAAAAAATTCCCAAAATCTGAGGGGAAAAATCCCAAAATTTGGGGAAAAAAATTCCCAAAATCTGGGGAGAAAATCCCAAAATTTGGGCAAAAAAAATCCCAAAATCTGGGGGAAAAATCCCAAAATTTGGGCGAAAAAATTCCCAAAATCTGGGGGAAAAATCCCAAAATTTGGGCAAAAATATTCCCAAAATCTGGGGAAAAAATCCCAAAATTTCGGCAAAAAAATTCCCAAAATCTGAGGGGAAAAATCCCAAAATTTAGGGAAAAAAATCACAAAAATTTCTGGGGAAATTCTGCAAAATTTGGGGAAAATTTCCTTAAAAGTTGGAGAAGAAAAATCCAGAATTTGGAGCAGAAAAATTCCAAATTTTAGGGAAAATTTCCCGAAAAATTGAGGGGGAAAAAAATCGCAAAAATTGGAGGGAACAATTCCAAAAAATTGAGAGGAAAAATTCCAAAATTTAGGGGGAAAAATATCAAAATTTTGGGGAAAAAAATCCCAAAAATTTCACGGGGAAAGTCCCAAAAGTTGAGGAAAAAATCCTAAAATTTGGGGGAAAAACCCTCAAAATTTGAGGGAGAAACTCCCAAAATTTAGGATTAAAAACCTTTCAAAATTTGGGCAAAGAAATCCAAGATTTTGACAAAATCTGTCAAAATTTAATATAAAACACCCAAAATTTGGGATAAAATCCTTCAAACTTCAGAAAAAACCACCCCAAAATTGCCCTGAAATTCCCCCAAAATTTTGGGGTGAAAAATTCAAAATTTGGGATTAAAAAAACCCCAAATTTTTGGGGAAAATCCCCAAAATTTTGGGGTCAAATTCCCCAAATTTGGGGTAGATCCCCCCCCCAGTGTGAGAGAGAGTGCGCATGTAAATGAGCTGTATGTAAATGAGCTGTATGCAAATGAGCCGTATGCAAATGAGCGATATTTAAAAGAGCAATATGTAAATGAGACAAGAGGACAAGACCTCAACAGCACTTTATGCAAATGAGGGGGATGTGGCAATACAAATGAGGGCGATATGCAAATGAGGGGTGTGTAAATATATGTAAATGAGGTTATATGCAAATGGAGATGTTATGTTGTCGATATGCAAATGAGATGGAGATGAGCGACGACAATTGCGAGCGCGGGTTATTTAATATGTAAATGAGCTGTACATAAACAAGCATTATGCAAATGAGCACTGACACAGCCGCACAAATGCACATCTCACTTAACTGCCATATGCAAATGAACCTGCAAATGAGGCGGGGCATGCAAATGAGCACCGAGCACCGTATGCAAATGAGCACCGCCGTGTCTACACTTCGCTGTATGCAAATGAACGCCCGTATGCAAATGAGTGCCATAATTAACGGATTTATTGTGCCAAGCCCCGATATGTAAATGAACATGCAAATGAACATGCAAATGAGCTGGACTGCCGAGCCTCGAGTCCTTGGTGTGGGTGGGGCGCCGATATGCAAATTAGATTTATGCTAATGAGGGACGCACAAATGGAGAACCGCGGTGGGGTGGGCTATGCAAATGAGCCATATGCAAATGAGGCGGTGACGTCACTGGGGGATTTTGGCCTGAAATTCCCAAATTTTGGAGGCAAATCCCAAATGTTGGGGTTCCTGGGCTGATTTTGGGGTCAAATTCCCAAATTTTGGGGTCCAATCCCAGAATTTTGGGTCCCATTCCCAAATTTTTGGGACAAAATTTCCAAATTTTGGGGCTCAGTTCCAAATTTTGGGCTCAGATTCACAAATTTTGGGGTCCAATTCCAAAGTTTGGGATGAAATTCCCAAATTTTGGCATCCGGGACCCAAATCTGGGCTGAAATCCCAGAATTTTGGGGTTTTCTGGGCTGATTTTGGGCTCAAATTCCCAATTTTGGGGCTCAATTCCAATTTCGGGGTCCAATCCCCAAATTTCAGGGTTCCCGGGCAGATTTTGGGTCCCATTCCCAAATTTTGGGGTCCAGAACCCAAATTTTGGGATTAAATCCCAGAATTTGGGGTTTCTGGGGTTATTTTGGGCTCAAATTCCAAATTTTGGGGTTCAATCCCAGAATTTTGGGTCCCATTCCCCAATTTTGGGGTCCAGATCCCAAATTTTGGGGTTAAATCCCCAAATTTTGGGGTTCCCAGGCTGATTTTGGGGTTAAGATCTCAAATTTTGGGGTCCAGGTTCTATTTTTGGGGTCAATTCCCCGAATTTTGGGGCTCCTGGGCTCATTTTGGGGCAGAATTCCCGGAATTTTGGGTCCCATTCCCAACTCTGGGGTCCAGATACCAAATTTTGGGCTCAAACCCCCAAATTTTGGGTCCCATCCCTAAATTTTGGGGTTAAATCCCCAAAATCCAGGTCCCCATCCCAGACTTGTCCTCAAAAATCCCCAATTTTGGGGTGAAATCCCCAATTTTTGGCCTCAAATCCCCAATTTTTGTGTCTCGTCCTGGATTTTTGGTTAAATCCCCAAATTTTGGGGTTAAATCCCCAAATTCCAGGTCCCCATCCCAGATTTGGCCTCAAAAATCCCAAATTTCGGGGTGAAATCCCCAATTTTTGGGCTCAAAATCCCTGAATTTCGGGTTTAAAATCCCAAATTTTGGGGTTTAAATCCCCAAATTTTCGTCTCAAATCCCCAAATTCCGGGTCCCCATCACAGATTTGCCCTCAAAAATCCCAAATTTCGGGGTTAAATCCCCAATTTTTGGCCTCAAATCCCCAATTTTGGGGTCCCCTTCCTGGATTTTTGATTAAATCCCCAAATTTTGAGGTCAAATCCCAAATTTCGGGCTCCAATCCCCAAACTCCGGGTCCCCATCCCAGATTTGCCCTCAAAAATCCCCAATTTTGGGGTGAAATCCCCAAATTTTCGTCTCAAATCCCCAAATTTCCGGGTTTAAAATCCCCAATTTTTGGGCTCCAATCCCCAAATTCCGGGTCTCCATCCCCGATTTTCCCTCAAAAATCCCCAATTTTGGGATCAAATCCCCCAATTTTGGGGTGAAATCCCAAATTTTTGGGCTCAAATCCCCAAATTTCGGGTTTAAAATCTCCAAATTTCGGGGTTAAATCCCC